GCTTCCCCGCTCCGATACCTGGGAGCTCTGCCGCACGCAGGCACCCCTGGTCCCTCTGTGACCCCGAGGGTCCTGAGACCACACCGTCCCGGGAGGATTCCACCCCCCGCTTAGCCACTGCAGCGACGTCCCTCAGCGGAGCCGACTTCTAAAAGGTCCGATTTTGTGCTCCGCGGCTCTAGCACTTGCCAGAAGCGGCCGACGGAGGCCCCCTCTCCCCCGCCGTCTATCCTCCCGAATATCGCCTCGGATTCACCTCTCCGCACGCCCTACCTTCCAGTAAGTGGTCACTTCTCTGTTCAGAGAGTTGTTGCTACTCTCTTCTTCAATCTCCTGTTGAGTTCGTAGGTGTTCAGAATGGTTTGATCCCTATTCAGCTGAATTCCTGAGACCAGACGAAATCCAGGTCTCCTACTCCTCCGCCATCTTGCTCTATTCTTTTTTTTAAAGAATAAATATTGTGGAGAATCCCAGATAGACGGAGGGGCTGGCCAACTTTGACAAAGCTGCAGAAAGGAGTTGGTGGCCATGGGGCTGGGCAAGTGACTCCATGGCAAGTCTGAACACAGGGGGCAGCATTTGGGGGCACAGTCACCTGTCAGTGTTGTGTGGACCGTCAGTGTTGTGAAGACCATTGTGATGAGCGTCTATCACCCCAGGGGTCGGGGGGGGGTGGTTCTGGCAGGTGTAAGGGCTGGACCTCATTGTGTTGGGAAAAGTCAGCATGTCATAAGGCCACCTTTCCAGAAATTCAGCGAAGGTTCTTTGTTCTTTCCTTTACGTATTGGAGACCATGTCTTTATTGAGGAGGATCTTGCGTTCAGCACAGCCCAGACTGGCTCTCAGTTCACATGGGCAGATTAGGCGCTGGCATGGGTTGCAAGACTACTATAGAATTCTTGACAACACAGTGTGACCCCCAGAAACCATGGCGCCACCATCACCACCTTGTCAGGCTGCCCAAGGCTCTCTGCAGGGACCCCAGGACCTGCTGAGTGTCAGTGCCAGAAAGGACCACCAGAAGCTCTTGCCCTTGACACAGGCTGGATGTCTATGCCCCACCTCTCCAGTCCGAGCAAACAGGAAGATGCACGTGGGGACAGAGTGGGCCAGTCGACACCCACAAAGAGCTCCCACGTCTTTGACACCTTCCACCCTCTCTTTTTGTTTGTTTTTGCTTAGTTCTTTAGAATTTCTCAACCTTTCCAGGCTCCTAAGCTCTTAAGATTTTATTAACAGAATGTCTGAAGGAGATGTTTCCAAAGGTTGTGCTTATACCTTACCTTTTTACCGTCCTTCTATACCATTATCCATAGAACACAGAATCACTTGTGCCCAGCACCCCCACCTTTGGTCCTGTGCATGACTGTCCCTGCATGGGGACTGCGACTCTGGACGATACTCCTGGCATAGCTCCTCAAATGGAGCACCACTCACATCAGTGCTCCCGGATTTCCCACAACAACACATTTGATCAGCAGCCACTACTGTATATAATCCTGGGGGAAAAAAAAAAAAAAAAAGGTGTTTGTGACTCTTCAGAGCCCAGATTCCTGTTGGCTACTAAAACTTGAAGGGAAGAGTGGTTAGTGTTTCTCTTTTTCCCCAAATGAACTTAACTGTCATTTTAACCCAGGGGATTAATAAAAGGCTCTCCAGCATTCTGTTCTAGGGCCTTCAGCTTTCATGGGAAGGGGGACCCTCAGCACACAGATTCTGTTTCTGCAAAGACCCTGATTTGAGCCACTCCTTGCCTCATGGTGTTTGGGGGCAACAGTACCTGCCTTATTTCTCTGAAGACATAGCATTTGTCTTCAGAGACACACATTCTTTGGCTGTTCCCTACCACTCACCCACTCTGTGTCTGCCATAAACCTCACAGTTCAGACCAAAATATCTGCACTTGGAGGCAATCACATCTATGCAGAGGGGCTTCTTAAAGTCATTCTGTGGGCACCGAGCCATGAGGAGTAAAGGAAGTTCCCAGTGCTGCTCTTACCATCTCCTTCTGGGTAACAACATGACCTTTGCTTGTTCTTCTCTTGCCTCTTGGTTCAGAAGGAAGAGTCAAAGCAGAGGTGTGAGAAGCTTGGCTTTGCTCCCTGAATGCACTGATTCTACGTGAACGGGGCAGGACAGCTCAGCCTTGAGGCTAGGATCGAGCAGGACCTGTCCTGACTTTATGTCCAGCTATGGGGTTTGCTAACATGGCTGTACGTAATGGATGATCTCCACTAGGTCAATGTAAAACTGTTTTCTGGTTTGTCATTTTTTAATGTCTATACATTAAAAGATTGACTTAGGAAGAAAAGAATACTGTAATGAGTTCATATTTATACTTTGATTTGAGTCTAGAACCAGAGTTTTACTCATTTATCTCACATCAATCTCTTCTCCCCCTACAGAAAATCCTGGTTGCTGATGAATGAATATAATTATGTATTCACCCATCCCACACTGTAACCTATATCCCACTAGACCATACACACAACAGAGTCTTAGAACAATACCAACACTATCATGAGAAATATGATTATTGAAAACAATTTAAGTATTGTTTTATGACCCTAGGGTATATCCCCTGGACATAAGTAAATTGTTATGCTTTAAAGTTGCTTGAAATAGTTCCTGATTTGTGGTTTGTCACCAACTTGGTAAGTGGTTATGCGTATTGTGTTTTGCTTTCAATGGTTAGGAACTGAAACTCTTGTTTGTTTGATTTATAATGTTACAAAGTGTCTACATGGAGCAGGACACCCCAAATGGCTGGGTAAGGGGCTCAGGACTTTCTTTCCCTAAATATCAGTGATAATACTGGACATAATTTTCTGAATAAACTATTTCAGAATTCTGGAAAATGACCAAAGGCATGCAACAGATTAAGAAATACTTAATTCAAAAGCTGCCTTACCCCCAGCAAGAACAACAGGGTGACCGAACACTAGACTGCCCCCACCCCACCCCTGGCGCAGCGATTCCGGAGGCCGAGAACCTACGGTCTTGCTGTCACCAGAAGAGTAGACCCAATTTGGAACTCCACAGAGAGGGTCCGTGTCCAGGGAGTTTGTAGGAAACGATAGCAGTCAGGCAGAAATCAAAGGTCAACATGACCGCTGCCTACAGCTGCAATTCCAGTTGAGGCAAAGAACAGAGCCACTGAAGTTTCACAGACATCAAGGAAGTGAGTCAGTCATGGTGGACCTCGAGCTCTCACGTATTCCTAGAGGTGTGGAAGGTTGCACACACACTAAGCAGAAAGTGAAGCGTGTCACAGTTCTCTGCTTTTCCCTCGCCAGACATGAAGCTTTTTGCAAACAAAGTAGAAGTCAGGGCAGCTTTATAAGCTGCTTGAATGGTAAACGTGCACTCCGATCCACACATGTCCCCTCAACAAAAGGTGTGAGCCTTACCCCTTTAAGGTGCTGCTAAAACACAAATTTAACCTAATGAATCTGAAGATATAATTGGCTTTATCAAATCATTCATGGATCGGGCAGCATCCCATATAGGAAGGACAGGTGGGAGTGACTCCAAGGAAGGCGGGAAAGAGGAAGAAAGAGAAGAGGGGAGGGAAGGAGGGAGGAGAGGAAGAAGGGAGGAGAGAAAAAGAGATCTTCTTCCAGTGACCACTTTGCAATGTAGACAATGATCTAAAATTTACATTGTACATCTGGAACTAATGTAATGTTATATACCAATTGTCACTTGGATGAAAAAACAAAGTGAGCAGGGCAAACTGCGGGGCAGCCAGAATCCACAGAATTAGTCCAGGCAGGTAATAAAACAAACAAAGCAACTTTATTCAAAGAGCCTCTAACTAGAAACAAAACAAATAACCATCAAAGAGTGGATGAATTAAAAAAAAAAAAAAAAAGGTGGTATATTCATACATGGAATCAATTGAGCAATAAGAAGGAATGTAGGATGACCTAACAACCATACGCTAGGTGGGGAAAAAGCACCTAGATACAAAGAGTACATACAGATGATTGTATTTTAATACAAATATAGAAAAGACAAATCTAAGCTTAATCATATCATTAAGCATACCAGTAGTTTCAAGGATGCCCGGTTGGCGGTTTAGCTGCACATGGGGACAGAGGTATCCGGGTAATGGAATGTGCTGTTTCTTGATTGTGGTATTGCTTACATAGGTGTATACAGTTGTCAAAATGAATGGAACTCCACACTTAAAACAGATATATTTTATTGTAAGTAAATTACATATCTATAAAGTTGATTCAAAAATTCCTAAAAAGAAACAAAATATTGTCCCCAGTCCAAAGGACATAGACAGACTGAAGAAGTAGACTTGGTGCCTCCAGGCAGGTGGGTGCAGCCCTGACTCTTTCCTCGCCCACCAATTTATGAGGGTGTATGCCTGTCTTGTGTTTAGTGCTCGACAAGTATTACTTGAATTAGTGAATGAAACTTAAAGGAAAAGAACTCCAGACAGGTGTCTGAGATAACACTACCCTTTGAGAGGTTTGTTTTCCATATACATCCCTTGCCTTGGTCCCGTCCTTATCCTGAGGACCAGCTCTCTTGTTCCTTTTTATTAACCATTCAGCGACACGTCTGCCCCACTGCCCTGCAGACGTTGCCTGCTCACTGTTTCTCTCTCCATGTTTAGAATAAGTTGGAGAAGCATGGCTCATTGTATTTATAAAGTAAGTATGGCAGGGGGCAAAGTTGCATTTTTCCTTAAGAGTTAGGGAGAAAACGAGGGAGCTAAAGGCATGTGGGCTTTCCGGGCCAAACAAGAAACACTGGAACAAGAAGGGAAACGTCAATCCTTCAAATACTACAACCAGGTCAGGAATGAACATTATGAAGAAAGACTATCAACATGACAGTGGATCTAACTTGGATATGGTTTGTTTAGGTTTGATTTTCACTGAGCATGTATTATACGCAGGAAACGCACCTTCGTCATGATCATTGTCCCAAAGGAGCTTGCACACTGGAAGGGGAAGAAAGACCTGGGTAACTGCGTGCAGGGTAGAAGTGAGGTGCACATATAGCAGAGTTGAAGGGCTTCCCGCCCATGGATCAGGGAACACCCTGGAGGATGAGAATCAGAATGGACTTCAAAAGTAGAGGACTATTGAACAGATGGAGATTACAAGGAAGGGATTCCATACAGAGTTACAGAACTAAATTAGTTTATGGGAACAATGATTATAAAGCAGAAACAAGAAAAAAATTAAATAGAGGGCAGAAAGAATGGTATCATCACTCTGTGGTCCTAGGTTCCCTGGGCCACTGGGGAAGGTGTGATGAGGCAGCTCACGGGATGTCTTGATAGGAGCTGTGGAAAAGAAATGGGAGATACTGGGTGCATTGGAGGTGGTAAGTGAGGATGAGGGGAGTGTCGGGAGACAGAAGCTAAGAGAGATAAAAATGGAATGTGAAATAAGATACTGGGAAGAAAGGAGGAAACACAAAGAACTTACCAGCGCTTCTTAAACCACAATGCAAGGACTATCAGAAGAATGAGGGGCACTATCACGGCCAACAGGATCAAGTACAAGGAAAGGTGGTGTCCTGTGGGTATTGGAGAGACACACCGATGTCATTTTCCACCCACTGTCAGTTCTACTCTGTCCACTGATTTTCCCCCCACGTCAACATACGCATTGGGTATGAGGGCCATCTTCAACCCACCTTGTCACGGTATTCTCACACCTGCTCAGGGAAGGGCACCTCATCTCTCCCTAAGTCTCTTACATCTGAGTGCCCTTTGTGTCCCATCGTTCCATCCCTACATTCTTGAAGTCACTTGTATTCATTCCTTCCTGATACCGTGCTCACGTAATTCTGGTGTCATGAAACCTTCCTCTGCCCTAATCTCTAGGCTCAACAACCACCTTCGCACACCTACAGACCCCATCTTACTCACCCCAGTAGAGAATGATGTCCTGGTTTCCTAGACTGCTGTGTCTCACCCGGCAGGACAGGCCGGCCGCCTCCTCAGCCTCCATGTCCAGGGTCACTCGGAGATACCACGTCCCATCAGCATGGGGCAGGACGTCGCCTCGCTGGGTGCCCCGCTGCTCCTGCTCACCCCGCATCCACATCACCCACACAGGCTTTGGGTAGAACCCAGAGACGTGGCACACCAGCAGCAGACGGCCGGGACCGGGACTGGGGCCAGCGGACAGCCAGGCCTCAGGCTTCACTGCAGAGGGCATGAGAGGTATTCAGATGGGGACCCTAACACAACAGCTTAGGGGTCTTTAACCACATCCATATGCATGTATTAGCTTCCTTTGGGAAAGGAAGATAACAAAGCAAACCCTATCTGTCTTGAATTCTTCCTTGTCCCGACTTTGAAAGGGATGGTGGGAAGGGGCAAGACTTGTATGGAAAAATCTTAGAGGAGGGGGCTGCACCAACCTTGCCTCTTATAATCCACCTTCGCAGCATCGAAGAGACCCAAGGCAAACCGGGGACAGGTGTTTGTGACGAGCCTGTGCACGGTTTCCTTGATGCCTTCGTACTGGTTCAGGAGATCACAGACACTCTGGGCTCTGCTGTCACCCTCTGGAGCTGGCACCCATGACAGGTTTTGGAAACTCAGGAAATCTGATCCTTCATAAGCTGCCTGTAAGAAGCCTTTTTCAATGTCACTAGAATGTAGCTCACAGCCAGCTCTCACCTGTACTTCAAAAGGATCTAGGAAGAAGGAAGAAAAAAAAGAAATAGAGATTTGTGAAAAAATATGAGAGAAACAATATAAGAACTTTATAAAAAAGTGGATCAAGAGGATGAGCCTGGGTGGCTCAGTCATTAAGCGTCTGCCTTCGGCCCAGTGTCCTGGGATTGAGCCCCGTGTCAGGCTCCCTGCTCAGCGGAGGACCTGCTTCTCTCTCTCCCTCTGCCTGCCACTCCCCCTGCTCATGCTCTCTCTCTATCTCCCTGTCAAATAAATAAAAATAAAATCTTTAAAAAAAAAGTGGAGCAAGAAAATTTTATAGGGGTGTGGGAGTAAGCTAAAGAAGTGTTTGACCAGGAATAAGGAAGAGAATTGATGGGACGGGGAAGGGGCCATAAGGGATACATGCCAAGAATCAAGAATTTGACTTGAAGAAGTCGGGGAAATGACAGGTGAGTCACAGGTTGGAGGGGGAGGGCGCCGGGTAGGAGCCCATGTGAAGGAGCTGCAATTACAGCTCTCCAGGGCACATGACACAGGCCATAATGGTTGTTGGGTTGTGGACGTAGACCTTGGGTCCAGAACGATATGAGGATGTTTCCCAGAAACAGAAGAACCTTCTGAGGGATTCCCTTAATGGAGTAGATTGAACTTACATCCAAAGTGCAGTTGACTGGCATATTCTTCAGTCTCCCGAGTTAATCCAATGAAGTAGACACGGAATAGCAGCTCCAGATCTATCAGCTCCTCGTCGCTGAAGTTGCCCTTAGACCAGGTGTGCAGGAAAATGATCGTGCCAGACTCGCTCTCCCAGCCATGAGTCTGCACATCACCCAGCCAACCTGAGCCTCGATGTTGTGCCCAGGAGTGGTTGGCAAAGGACGAGATCTGGATGACATGGAACGAGATGTGTTCCTCGGTGGCTGAGGGTAGTGGAGGGTCAGGTAGTTGAAGGGAAAAAGGAGGCAAGCAGGAAGGAGAAGATGGAAAGTGAAGCAGTTACGAGAGAGATGAGAGACAGAGAGAGAGAGAGAAGGAGGGAAGAAGAGAGAGAGGGAGAGACAGAGAGACAGAGACAAAGAGGGAAGGAGGGGGAAAAAGACAGGAAGAGAGAGAGAGGGAGAGAGAGGGACAGAGAGAGAAGAAATGAGAGAAGGGGGAGGGAGAGGGACAAGTTATGACCAGGTTAGTGACGGCATTTCCCTCACCTGGGGCCCATACTCACCACTATCCTTTCAAAGGGTGAGCCTTACCAGGAGACAGGAGCCCTCGGGGCGTGAGCACTCCGGTGACCTGAGAATCCTGATCTGTCTAGGGAAAGGGAGCACGCCCTGCCCGGATCAGGGCTGGGCAGCCGGCAGAGCTCTTACCTCCGGCACTGTCACCCCTCGGGAGAAGAGCAGCCAGCAGGACGAGTTCCAGAGACAGCATGTCACTTGCAGATGTTTCTCAACTTCCCTCCGTTCTCAGAAAACCTGCCCTTCAGTGTTTCTGGTCTGACTTCCTTCTTCCACCAAAAAGCCGTGCTCCCCACCAACTGCTAATTGAAACAAAAGACGATCTGCTCCTCCTTCAAACTCCAGCCTCCTATTCGTGCTCTCGTTTCCCCTCCAGCTCGGACCAAGACTGTCCTTCTGCCTGGCTTCCTGCTGCTCTCCTCGTCCTCAGCCTCCCCCTGCTGGATTCCCTCCTGGAAGTTGTGTGCGACAGTGGAAGGTCTCCTTACCTCTTGGAGACTTGTGTCTCACCACTACAACAAAAAACAGAAACTGCATGGTGTCGTCAAGCCTATCTCACCCTGTCTCCTTCCACCTGTCTCCTTCCCCGAGTCTCGCTGGCTCCTTTGTAAATGGGAGGATTTGCATTCTCACGTCTGCTGCCACCTCCGCAGGCACCTGCATAAACCGTAGCTGGTTCACCACTATCCTTAGAGATGAAAGTGTAGCCACCCCAGAGTACATAGGACTATCAACAATACAAAGTATATGCCCTCCTCTTGAGTTTAATTTGTGTATTCCCTCACCAAAAAGTCCCTCAACACATGCTTGGCACCAAGTATCTTAGTAGGTATGTGAACATACAGAGATGGACGAGTGTATTTAAACCAAGAATTGAAATACATTGTGATAATTGCTGTTTCAGTGTCTAGCATCCCAGACACAAGGACAACATTCTCCAGGGAGGCATTCTGATCGCCTGGCCCCTGGAGTGTCCATGACTTGAAGTCTTGAGTGGAAGCTGTGCTTTTCAACCTGAGGGTGTGGTGGCAACGCGTACAGGGATGGATTGGGGGGAGGAGGGGTCAGAGGTGCAGCTTTTCACGGAGACACAGGCAAGGGAAGGCTTTGAACGTTCTCATTGACGGTAAGTGTGATCTGATGCAAATACATTGTCAAAAAAGAGTGGCGTTTGTTCATGTTCAAAAATATGTACGTCGCCCGTTTTGAGAAGTGCCTGGTGATTTGTTGATGGTTCTGACTGGTGAACTGTGTGAATACATGAGTTCCGATCTTTCAAAGACCCAAGCCATACGTTATTATAGTGCCCGTTAATAACTTCCAGAACTCACTGAGTGCAGGGGACACTTACTTAAATCCCGTTTGCAGCCATTTCTCTTTCACATTTGTCAGCATTAATAATGAGGCTGGAGGTCACAGTCAGTGAGCTCTTTCTATTACCCCTACAGATACGAGGCGATTTCTATGTGCCACAAACTCCTCCAAGAACCACCAACCATGATTTCAGCCCCACCCAGATCTTGCACACGCCCCATCATTGCCCGAACCTTCTTGTCAATGGCAACCTCCGGTGTTAGGAAGCCACAGCCCACACGATGCTGTATGGTTATCACAGTCCCCTGTAGGAAACACACATCCCTCCTGTGTGGTGCTGCAGACATAGGCCACCTACAGGGCTCTGAGCACCTGGCTTTGCAGAGCTTTGGGAGAGCCGCCGCCTCGGATGGCAGCCCCGAGACAGAGGCCGCGTGTGGTGTGCTGGTGTCAGAAAGCAAGCCTCTAAGATTCTCAAGTTTACTTACAACTGCAACCCAACCCAGCCATACTGGTTAGTATTATAGAGCCTGTAGAACCGGGTAACTAGCATTCTCTCCCCTCCTAAACTCAGAACCAAATGAGATAGAGATGTAAAGCATAAGATTATCAATCAAATTATCAGCTTCACTTCTGATAAAACTTCTAGAGAATTTCTGTTACATGTGTAATCCAAGTAATTTTGCTGTCATTGAACTCCAAATGAAGTGGTCTTATTGTTATAAACTGATTATTTGTGTCCCTCACCCCCCACCAAAATTCATGCATGGAAGCCTTAACAGCACCTCCTGCCCTGTGTGGTTCTGTTTGAAGATGGGAACTCTAGGAAGTAATTGTGGTTACAGGAGATACTAACAGGGGGCCTTACAAGAAGAGATGACGGAGAAGGAGCTCTCTGTCTCCCTCTCTCCCTGTCCCCAGGCACCAAGGAAAGGTCATGTGAGGAGATACTGAGAAGGCAGCTGTCTACAAGCCAGGGAGAGAAAATTCACTGGAAATCAAATTGTCTTGCACTTCTAGTCTCAACATCTTGGAGAAGGTGACCATGGGGTTAGGCCTGCTCTGCCAGAGCCCACACAGGCTGGAGGAAACCAGGACAACCCTCTGGGCATGGGAAGAAGGTGTAGAGACCTACTTTTTACCCGGTTTCTCTCCTGGACTCACCCGTGATGCAATCCATGTGATTGCCACAGGAAAGAATACGGAGTAATGAAGGAAAGGAGAAGTATGTGGGGAAATTCAGCCTCAGGGGAATGAGAAGAGCAGGTACACCAGGTTCACCTCTGTGGGTGATGCTTGCCCCTCAGAGAGAGAGCTCTCCTCAGCTCCCCACTGTGAGCCCAGCTCACATGGTCTCACCCCTGCTCTGCCATCCGCTCCCTACCAAACCTCACCCTCTGACCACTTCCCTGTTTGAGAAATCTCACTGCCTCCCACAACCACATGGCTTTTTACTGCCCCTTTCATTTCCCCATGAACACGCCTTCAGGTTATTCTCCCCTGCCTGGCTCCCAGCAGCAGCCCTGTCTCTGTTTTGTGTCTTCCACAGGCCCCCCCATCCACAGCACCGAGGGCAGGATAAGCCCCACAGGGCACCTGCAGAATGCACTGGCTGCAGCTGGTCTCTATCCCCCACCGTGACACCTCTGATGGAGAGAACCAGATGTTCTCTAATCTGGTTTCAACTTTAACATTGTCTGACTTGGTCTGTGTTCACATTCATTTTTATTTATAGAGGTTTTTCTTTCTCTCTTTTCTGGGTCTCATTTCTCACTTTTCTATCTTGTGTAAACATTGTTCTCTGTTCACCCTTCATCTGAGCTCCCAGCACCTCCTCTCTTCATCCCCTCTCCTGCTTATCTCCTCGTCCATCCATTCAAAGACCTGCCACTACCTTGGCTAAAATATGAAAACTACAACACTGCCTTATCACTTGACCCTTAGATTTCTGTGTGTAATTATATATGAACGGTACTATTTTTTTTTTGCCAGACAGAAGGCAGATATTTTTGTAAGAGTGAGGCTTGCATGATCAATTTTTATAGTCCCACACTCTATGCAAAGACTGACTTTACATCATAAGATTTAGAGTCGAAATTTAAAAAATGCAAACTTTGTTTGCATCGATGACTCTCTTCTTATTGACCTCACCACTTCATTTTTCTTTAAAAAAAAAAAAATCCCTTAATCCTTTGAAGCTTACAAGGAATTAAGTACATTGAACTGGGATTCTAATATCATCCTGCACTTGGTATTAATTTTACTAAAATATCGTGCCAAACTAAGGCTAAGGATATCAATTTAAAGGATATTTTTGAAAGTACACATTTGACTTTTATTTTATTAAAAATTCAAATTAGCACTACCTTTAAAAAGATAGCATATCTCTGCCTCGTGAACACTCTGGAAGGGGACAGTTCAGGGCTGTGCCATTCTGTTGCATCCGGGACTTGGTGGCCAGCTTCCTCTTTGGTTTTGGGGGTTTTTGAATGTTTCGTTTTGCTTTGTTTTGTCCTGTTATGGTCTTTACCGCACTTGGTCCTTGTTCTGAAAGTCACCCCATACTCCGAGGTGGTTGCTAGAGGTCCTTCCTTCAAGCCCACGGTCCGACCAGTGGTCATGAGAAGGGACGAGACTGAGCACACCCACCTGCAGCTGCTTTGGTTCCACGTCCCTGCAGTTGTATGTCCATGGGTCAGACCGCAGACACACACCCACACCAGCTCACAGGGGGTTTAAGGAAGCAGCTTCGATTCAGCCCAACTAATAAATGGGGCTTGATTTATTCTAGAGGAAGCAGAAAATAGACTCTGGAGACAACCAGCGGTCTCTGCCACGGAGCCCCATTGGACAATTCATCTGCCCACGGAGGCACATGGGTAGATGGTTCGCGAGCAGTTTCACGTGAATAAGGTAACCGCTAATAACACTGCTCAAAGCTCAAACACCATGGGTGCTTTTCTCAGGATACTTTGTACCCAAATTAGGGCTCATACCTGTTCCTGCCTAAAGTCGCATCCAGCGTTCTTGTTGAAGTAGTATTGGTCATGCACTGGGAACATAATTAAGCCCCCAAGTGCCTCTGTCTTAAAGTAGCACCAAAATTTTACCTCAGGAAGAATCTTGGTACTCCCTGGAGATGCTGTCAGCCTGCAGGGAGCAAATCTGAGATTCAAGTGACAGTCTTTGAATAGATCTCCAAAAGCCGTGAGAGATGTCCAGTTGCCAATCCCACCCATAACTCAACTGATTACTGGCTACTGCTCTGCACATAACAGATGATATAAAATTGTGGTACATGACATGTATGTCAGAGCATGGAGTCTCAATATCACTGCTGCTCAAGACTCATGAAATCTGTTCAATACAGACAATATGCTCATTCCTACAGAGAGTGCCAAATCAACCCTTGAGCTTGCCAGAAAGTGGGAGAGATGCATACCCGGCTCAATCCTGTTGTGTTGTATAGACTTGCTTTCTTATTTTTCATGTAGGCTGATATAATCACTTTATTTAAGAGACTGAAGCAGGCCTAGGAAACTCATGAAACTGATGGAACAAATTTTCCTGAGAACGTCGTTCACAGCACTACATAGTTTCTTCCTTCTAAGAACTGATGGGAGAAATTTCTTTGTGGCCTGAGGACCAGGAAGAGCTGTACTTTTTCCAAATGACTTACCTGACTGTATCTTTCTAGACCCTTCTAGACCCTGTCTCAGTCACCTCCGAGCCCTCTCATAATTGACAACCCACATACAGTCAATGTTTAGAGCGTCATGATGCTTTTCAAAATTTACCCCATTCTTGGCTTCATCTTTCTTTACCAGCCACATATTCCCTTGGGCTCTATCCCTGTATTATTATTGATAAACTTAGTCTTACATGCATGGTTTTGTAAGTCATGTCAATGACAAGCTAACAAGTTACTGTGAACTCAAGCCTGGGTTTGTAAGGTGCTTGATTTGGGGGGCTTCCAATGTTTTAGGAACAAGGACACAGAAGCTTTGTTTTAATCTGCACTGCCACCCAGAGGTAAAATATAGAAATTTATCCCAACCTGTAGCCTTTGGTGATTATAAAAACCCTGACATTTTCAACCAGAGGGTTTTGATGTTGCACATATTTTGATACTCTGCTTAGAAATCGAAATATTTTATACAATATTGTATATTTTATGGGGTTTTTTTCCTAGTGTTTTACCCCTGGTGCAATCCATTATCCCAATTCAGTCTTTTTATTCTATAGAACCTAATCTAAAAACATTTTCCGGTATTAGTTTTGCTCTGTTGTGTTTTGAGTGTAGAATCTTAAGTGCAGACGATTGAACTAATCCTTCTCCAACTG